TGCGAACTAAAGTTTGTTAGAAAGCTAAAACATTAGTTTATAAACTGCTAGTTGTTAGCTTTTAAGAAAACTAAATGATTAGCAAATACAATGTTTAGTTTCTAAACTAAGTTCAGTTTGCTAATTAAATCTTTAGCTCCAAGCTAAACGGATGGAGGGAGCGCTGATCTTCCCTCCATCCAGGACTTGTACAGGTCAAGGGTCAAGAAAAGGGCAGCCAACATCTTTGCAGATCCCACATATCCTGGACACAAAGTGTTTAAACTTTCGCCTTGAGGTGGCGCCGAATAGACAAGAATAAAAGATCTGAGCTTCGTCTCCTCCTCCTGTAAAAACATCGTCTGTTAATCTATTCACAAGAAAAACTTGAATATTTTCACCACATGAAACTAAAGTCACATTTTTTCTTCTCCACAGAATAAATCTGCTGCTTCAGTCGCTGCTGAGAAAACAAACAGTGATGCTGTTGTTCCATATTGTAATGAGGATCAGTTAAGATGTTTAGAATTCAGTTTTTGTTAGGAATCCGTTTTCTTTGTTCTGTAGGTTCTGTTCACATCAGGCTCTGGATCCTCTGGTTGTGCAGCAAAGTGTGAAATTGTTGAGCTGCAGAACAAACTGCTGCTTCAGCCGCTGCTTCAGTCGCTGCTGCTTCAGTCGCTGCTGCTTCAGTCGCTGCTGCTTCAGTCGCTGCTTTCAACCAGTTCCAGCCTTCAGTTTTCCAGCCTAAAGCTGCAAAGATTAAAACCCTAAAGATGAAAAACCAACTGAAAGCGACTCGACTTTATCGCCAAAATGTTTTTCTGTTTCTTAAAGAGGAAATCAGGCAGTAACTCAATTTGTTGTTTTTTTTCCTCTTTTCATGATTGGAAATAAAATTTACCTTCAGGTTATTTTCATTTCTGGATCCTGCAGGAAAATTCTATTAAAAAAGGGAAAAAATGATTTTGTCAGAATAAAAACTTTCATTTATGTTGTTTTATTATTTTAATCTGAAGCACTTCATGACATCTGGTGCACAAATAAAATATTAAATTAATTTTCAGGGTCAAATATTTAAAGTTTACAGTCAAAAAAAGAGGATCAAATTTATCAGCTGTTAAGTTTCATATCAGTGATTTTAATTCTGCAAAACATGAAATATCAGCAAGTCTAGTGTCAATATGGATCCAACAAGACAAAACTAATTTACAAATGACTTTTCAGTAAGAAATGGAAACTTGTTTCCTTAATATTGAAATAATCTCAGTGTAATTCATATTTTTTCATTATTTCAAGTGCAGTTCAGACGTTTTGACTAGAAATCAGACGAAATACCTTTTGTGTTTTTATTTGAGCTGAAATAAAAGAACTAAACGTTAACGTTGCTGCATGCAGAGGTTGCAGGAGTCATGCAAACTGTAGCAGCTGCAGAACAAGCCGGCTCTCTGATCTGGACCTGAGGGAACAGAGGGAACAGAGGGAACCTTTCTCTCTCCTCCTCATCGGGCCTCTGAGTGGGCGTCCAGCTCCACGTCGGCATTCCTTCCAGGGTTCACGGCTCTCTCCGTGTTTGAGTCCCACAGCTCTGTGACATGGCTGCCATTGTTCCCCGCTCCGCCGGACCGCAGGTCTCTGCAGGGGATCCGGCCCACTCCCTGCATGCTTCTGTCAGGCCCGTGGGTCGAGTCCTGCAGGACAAACATGTCCACATTTCAGCGGCTCCATAGGAAACTGGGCGCCATGTTGGCTCCACATGTTCAGGATTCCTGAGTGGAAGAGTTCAAGTTTTGTGTTTTTCTACTTTTTATTGGACTTTTGATTTCCTCACAAAACGATGAGCAACTGAAATCCTCAACATCCCTGAAGCTGCAGCACATCACAGATTTCCAAGATGGCCGACGGTCTTCAGCTTTTTCAGACAAATATTCCATAAAATGTCATATTTTCATGACTTGGACGAACTTTTTGTCACATCATCTGTTTATTGTTGAGACTTTAAAGTAATAAAATGTAGAAACTCATAACTGAGGACTTTCAGCAAGCCTCACCCCAACAGGAAACTGTTAGCTTCTGCTAATTTGTTCATGTGTTTAGCATTAGCATCAATCAACTGTTTGCATTTAGCAGTCTATAGTGTTAGCTTCACTAATTGTTTGGTGTTTAGCAATGACCTCCTGAAATGTGTTTAGAGGTTCAGCATTAACGTCTGTATTTCTACGTTTTGCAGTTCAGCTCCAGTTTCCACTTAGTCTTTTAAGTGTTGAGCTACTTAGCCTTAGCTGAGCGACTTAGCCTTAGCTGAGCGACTTAGCCTTAGCTGAGCGACTTAGCCTTAGCTGAGCAACTTAGCCTTAGCTGAGCGACTTAGCCTTAGCTGAGCAACTTAGCATTAGCTGAGCGACTTAGCGTTAGCTGAGCCACTTAGCGTTAGCTGAGCGACTTAGCCTTAGCTGAGCGACTTAGCGTTAGCTGAGCGACTTAGCGTTAGCTGAGCAACTTAGCATTAGCTGAGCGACTTAGCGTTAGCTGAGCCACTTAGCGTTAGCTGAGCGGCTTAGCGTTAGCTGAGTGACTTGGCGTTAGCTGAGCCACTTAGCGTTAGCTGAGCCACTTAGCGTTAGCTGAGCCACTTAGCCTTAGCTGAGCAACTTAGCATTAGCTGAGCAACTTAGCATTAGCTGAGCGACTTAGCGTTAGCTGAGCCACTTAGCGTTAGCTGAGTGACTTGGCGTTAGCTGAGCAACTTAGCGTTAGCTGAGCGACTTAGCGTTAGCTGAGCCACTCAGCGTTAGCTTAGCGGTTTAGAAAACATCCATGATTTCTTTGATTAAAACTTGCAGGCTCTGATTTGACACCAAGCAGATTCATCTAACAGCTGAATTTAGTGCAAAAATTAATTTTCCATGACAAATATGGTATCCATTTTGGAAAACAAGAAATACCAGTAAATATAATTTTTATGGTGCAGTTATGTATAATTTCACACCAAAAGTATTTATTCATGATAATTATAATTTCATGCAGAAATACATTTCCCTGTTCGACCAGCTTGAAACACAGCCGCCATATTTTCTGGGTTTTCCTCGGATCATCTGTACCAGGTGAGGTTTTTATATCTGCATGTGAAAAATTGGCTAAAGTGGCTGAAAAGGCATAACTACAGAAACAGGAAGTCCTGGATCGTTAATTAAAAGCTGCTACATTTTCTATAAGGATGAAAAGTGGAAACTAAAACATTTCAGTCACATTGATAGTAAATATTATAATTATTCCTCTCCTGATTGAATGTGATCCAGTCAAAAGTTTCCAGATGTTGGAGAATCAACTGATAATGTGTTTGATTTATCATTGTGATTAAATCACATTATTCGCTATAATAGAGTGAGAGATGCTGAATCTGCAGCCTGGTTGCTTCATTAATGTTTCCCTGAAGGTTTTGCTCTTGGATTTTGAGTCGTTTAAACATTTTAGGAATCATGGATGTGTTTCTGAGAGGCTGGAGGAGCCGATGATTCACCAGGAGACGCTTCGCTCTGCAGCAACCAGGACGCATGTTGATGCCACATCTTTCATTAAATAGACAGCTGCAAATCAAATTTGGTTGAATTTTTATGAAGTCAAGTCTTTCCTTAATCTCCAGAAATTGTGTTAAAGCTGAGATAACATCTAGAAACATGTTTCCTTGTCAGGGTGATTTAAACTCTTCTTCTCTAAAAGCAGCCAAAACAAAAAGCCTTTTGTGTAAAAATGTTAATATTCTGCGGCTGCTTGGGTGTTTCCAACTCGGCCTGAAGAACAACAGAAACTGCTTTGTGTTGCTGCAGCATCACTGGATCAAACAAACAGAACCGGGACTTTCTGTGCTGATGGACCAACTGACTGGAGCTTCATGTTCCAAAGCCGCGTCGATTCGGTGGGGAAGAAACACCAGATGCTCCGCAACGCTTTTCTGCTCCATTCTCACGTGAAGGACAAAAAATTTAAATTATTAAAAACTTTTTGTTCCAAATCAAAATGACTGAATGTTTTCACCAACCATCAACTCAAAATCCAACATGGCCGCCGTCTTAATTAAAAACAAAACAAATGTAGTTAAAATTCTGCTACATAATCTGTAAGGAAGAAAAAGTTTCTTTGAAGGTAAAAATTGTTTGCCATAATAATAATTGATAATGACAGAATATCATTAAAAACAAAAAGACGATAAAATGAAACCTGGTTCCAATTTATTTAAGCTGTGAATTAAAGGAGCTGAAAACATTTACGATCAGGAGCATGTGGCTAACTGCTACGTGTAGCTAAAAGCAGCATATGGCTAATTGCTACATGTGGCTAAAAGCAGCATATGGCTAAAAGCAGCATGTAGCTAATCACATCTTGTTGCTAAAGGCAACATGTGGCTAACTGAAGAATGTAGCTAGCAGTAATATGTATTTAACAGCGGCATGTGGCTACGCTAACTGCAGCTAATCCTGTCTAAAGTTAATTAGCTCAGCAGAAATTGAACCAATCATGTTTCTGGATGAGGAGATCATAGCTGCAGCCTCCACTGAGCGTTGCATGATGGGTAAATTCAGTATCATGGTGGAACATTTCCAGTGTGAGATGATAATTTGGTGAATTATAGCTGAGGTTGGTAACTTGTTGGGGTCAGCGGGTCTTCAGTCTCGGCCCGTTTGGTTTCCAGGCCTTGGTCTTCGCTCTCCGCCTCTTGTAGCCGCGGCGCGTTAGCGCGGCGTGTGAAGGCGGCCCAACAATGGCCTCTCAGTGCATCGGCCCTGAGTTCAGCCTCAGAGATAACCCTTGTTGTCCTGCGGCCGGGGTGAGGCAGATGGGTGAGGAACAATGGCCGGACCCGTGTGGAGGGCGGCAGCGACTGACACAGAATGTCTGGACCGGAGCCAGAACCAGAACCGGGCCAGATGTCTCCGCCCTCCCCGACCTCACCCGCCCCGCGGCGCTCCGGGGTCGAGGCGACGACACCGAGCGACGGCCCGCCCCGGCCGCGTCAGACGGGCTGAACACACCCTGGGGGAGCGGCAGAGCTGGGTGTTGGCAGCGTGGGCAGCGGATCAGAACCAGAACCCTCTGCAGCAGATATAATGGCTACAGCGAGCACTTCGGGGCAGAGCAGCTTCGGGCTTGGAAAGAAGAAGAAGAGTCCCGGTCTGATGGATCAGCTAAGCAAATTGTTTGGAGGAGAGAAGAAGAAGAGGAGCAAGGTGAGCATCTCCTGCAGTGCAGCCTCCTCATAACAAGCTGCTCGCCCTGGAGTTCTTCCATCCACTAAACTTTATCACAGAAATCTTTCCAGTCTTGGGATTTGTGGGAATTTTCTGAGAACTTCAGGAAATCAAAGAACTTGTTTGATAATTACTAAAACTAATTTTATGGTGCAATTTAAATTTTAGGAGTTTTATTTTCAACATATTGTGAATTTAGTTCAGCATCATTGACATACTTCAAGTTAAATTAGTGTTTTTTGTCTCATATATTTATTTTAAGATTTTAAAAATCATATCTGAATATTTATGCAGTTAATAAAAATGTGAGGTTGAATTTGTGAACTGATTAAAATATCATTTGAAATGTGGTTGAAAACTCCAGTGTTGTGGAATCAATTTAAACGTGAAGCTTTTATTCATTATTTCTCATTTTAAATATGATTTTCCAGTTTTAAGCCAAATTTAAAGAGTTTCTCTTTAAATTATCTTCTGTAAACTAAATTAACACAGTTATCTCGTCCTGACCGGACTGAGAGGACGCTCCATTTTGAACTCCAGACTGAATGTTTTTGTCGTTCCCGTGTCGCCTGCTCAGGGGTCGTTCCGGGGTCACCTGGCCGCCTCGCCCCAGCAGCCCTCGGCTCGCCGTCGGACCAATGAAAACCCCGTGGTGCATTTCTTCAGGAGCCTCGTGAGTCTCGCTGTAAATCACACTGTCCTCATTTAACTTCTCTGCTTCCACATCACGGTTTCATCCAACATCCTAACAGCAACTCCAGGTCACATTGTTGGAATTTTCCTGCATTGTTTCCTGCAGGACAGCAGCAGTTCCTTCACATCCTGCACTGTCTGTGAAGCTGCTTGATTCTTTCACCTGCTTACTAATCATGAGAAACTGCAGGAAACGTCACTCAGAGCTTGTTGTTGTGTTTCTCTGCCTGGTCAGTCAGTCACGCTGTTGTTGTTGTTGTCGCCTTGGTTTCCCCTGCAGGTTTCCTCTCCTCCTCCTAAATCCACGGTGAGTCTCACTTTTTGTTTCCCCACATTCAGCTGCAGGATGAAGTTAGGCTTGCTAATGCTTTAAATAATGTGAGTTTGAATCCAGGAAAGATTTTTCATTATTGAGAACATTCAGCAGTTCTGGCTTCACTGCCATCTGGTGGCAGCTTTAAAGAATGCAGATTAAAATGAATCAGCTCATTAAGGCACAATCACCTGTTTGTAAAATCAGCAGGAATTCAATTAAACTCCTTTTGATCCAAAGTTTACTGTGTTGATTTGTTGCAGAGCAGATCCAGTTTTTACATCACATTCATGTTGCAGCACGAATGTTTTTTTGTTTTTAGCAGTGAGATTTCCTCTGGTGGAGCCTGAAAGACCAGGAACAGCAGCAGGAACTGCTTGGTCTCTGCAGGAACATCCAGAGATGCAAGCTGAGGTTTTCTGAGAAGTTTGAGCCTCAAAGTGGTTTAAGGTGCATGATTGAGATCTGAATGAAGAACGGAGGCAGCAGAAACAATCCATGACAGACGCAGTCAGGCAGCTGTTGGGTTTAGTTCTCCTCAGTCCCTCCTGGTTTTTATGGAAATTCATGCAAAATCAACACATCCCTGCATTTTTCTACAAAAATGATCAAAAACTTGAAGTTAAAGCAATACTCACTCCCACCTGCAGGTGGCAGTATTTCTTATTTCTACACTATTACCTGAGCCTGAAGTCACGTAATTGTCCAAAAATTCACATTTATTGTCATCCATAAATGCAAATGACCGGGAAAAACAGTATCCTGGTTTTCCTCCTGACAGTCCGGTCGACCTGGTTTGATTCAGAACCAGAACTCCACCGTCTGCTCCACCTCCAGCTGTTCTGACCCAAACCAGCCTGTTCCCCTCCTGGCCTGTGGGGGCGCTGCACCAACAACCACTGCAGGAAACGACACTAATACCTCTGAAGATGCTGAGAGCAACTTCCTGTTTCACCAGATGAAACAAGATGGAGGCGTCAGAGTTTAGTGATTTCTCTTTAGTCTTTGGCTGAAGACCAGGAGCCATTTCTGATGCTAGCGCTAGGCTAGCATGTTAGCTATGGTTACCCAGAATGCCCTGCGCTGTAGTCCACTTCCTGCCTTTGGAGCGCTCTCTGGTCCGCTTGTTGTTCACATTCAAACCGAACCAGAATTCACTTCAACCGAATGCAGACAGAGATCTGGAGGACCAGAGGTCAGAGGTCAGAGGTCGATTAGTGTTCACACCTCACCAACTGGACCGTACTTTCTGAGAAAGTGGACTGGAGTGACTGTAGGATCCAAACATCAGACAGAACTTTTGCTCTGTTTTGGTTTGTGATGAGTTGTTGGTCAGAGTCCGCTGGATCTGTTGACATGTTGGAGGTTCTGCTCTGACCCGGTTCTGTTTCTGACCTCACTGTCTGTTTCTCTTTCATGTCCAGTGGAGAGAAGTCTTGGGTTTGGTACGTGACACAGTCGAACTGAGCATGTGCAGTGACCCTGATTAAACCCGTCTGTGGAGAACTTCCTAACCTCTGCGCCGCGTCCCCGTTTCTGCTTTCAGTCCCACGTCGGCCATCTTTTCATTCCCTGCGCCGGCGGGACGATGACTCAGAAACGCCCCCTTCACTCACACACTGATCGCTTTAACAGTCGGTTTTGTTCAGTTTGAGAACAATCCTCTCTCCTCCTCGTTTGCTTCCATCCAGAGCGACTCGCTGCTTCTGGATGACTTTGAAACCGCTCGGCTATTTATGACCCGGTAAACACCTTCTCTCAGAGGACTTCTCGGCCTCCTCCTCTTTGTCTTCTTGTTCTGTGTAACACCTCCACCTCCTTTGTGCCAGAAATAACTCTCCAACCCTCCTTTGTGTCGTTTCATCTCTCAGAGCAATTTGACGGTAATTTCTCAGCAATCTGTGGACTTTGTCTCGTCCCGTCTTCCCGTTTCTTTCCCTCCTGACAAATGTTGGTTTTTCTTCTCAAAGGTTTCCACTCACGTTATTCTGCTGCAGTAAAAGTTTAAACGTTGCTGCAGCAGAGGCGCCAAACATCTGAGCCGTTTTTCTTCCACCACTGGCAGATCGACCGACACGTTGAACTGCCAGACATTAGGAATAAATTCTCCTTTAAATGAAAAACTTGTTTTAAGAAGATATAAGACTCATCAGTTTTTGTCTGAAATTAAAAAGCTTCAAATGAGATTTAAAACTCAAAACAAGAAACTCAACTGAACAAGTTTTGAATCTCGTTTTAAGAAACTCAGTCAAAGACAAACTGTTTCTTTAAAACGTGAAACATGTGAGACGTGCAGCTTGACGCATGTATTTGGTGTGGAGAAGGAGCAAAGTGAAAACCTGCTGATGTTTTAGTTTTCAGCAGCTGCTTGTGCTGCGATGTTAACAATGTGACTCATTGGCTGCTTTTCCTTTATGTGTGCAGAACTTTGTAGATATTCCACTAATGTCCAGAAAATACAATTTCTCAACTATGGTGTTTCTATTGAAGAAGGAATTGTATTAAAACTCACAGGGGAAAGTTTGTGCAGGAATAAATGACTGAATCAGGTTTGCTTGCGGCTCACTCAGGCTGTTTTTCCAGGCCTCTGCGTCGCGAACTGAGAGCACGAAGTCGCCGGTCAGGAGACGCAGAGAACAGAGCACGCTGTCCAGGATCTTCAACCTGGTGAGCTGCCTGCATGTTTGCCTCCTTTAAAGTCTCTGGTTTTCTCCTGAGTTTGGACTTCACAAACCGTTTTCCTGTCTGTGTCCACGCAAACGCTTCAGTGACGCTCTCCTCCGAGATCAGTGAGTAGCTCCAGCAGCAGCTCAATCCATCCGCTTTCAAATCATCATAACCACCTAACAAGCTTCAGAGCTGCAGCATTCACACGTCACACAGCCGAGGGAAAAGAAAGTACACCCCGTTCAGTCAGGACGTTCCAAAGATCCACTGGAAGCAAACCAAACACTAATGTTTGCAAAAAATAAAATAAGTGCCCCTGCTCTCAGGGCTGGGCTGCGTGGTCCGGATGTTTGGTGTCGGTTTGTTGCTCTGGAGCTTCCAGGCTGGAAAACCAGCAGCAACTGGGAGAGTTCAAAGGTCATCCCACACCAGCCGAATCCATCGTTCCCCAGACAGGAAGATTATTCAAACAATGTCTTTGAAAATTTAAAATTATTGAAGAAAAACTTTTTTTTTAATTTAAAACATTTAAATAAAAAGAAAAATAAATGAAAAATTGACAAGGATAAAAAATTTTAACTGAAAAAATTAAAATAAATAAATAAAAATAAATTATTTATTCAAATTTTTTAAATATAATATAGTATTTTATTTAGAGAGAGAGAGATGAACATCTCAGCATGAAGCTCAGAGACAGGATAAACAGATCAACTCTACGGGGCTCAGTTAGCTGCTGAAAGGTCATGACCCTGATCCATCATGGCTGCTGGAAGGACGAAGCCTCTTCACTCTAGAAACAAGATGGCCGCCGGTTGGAGGTTCGCAGCGCTGCATCTGGGGGACAGATGGGTCTTCTGGGACGATGTCCTCGGGCCCAGAGAGGAGACGATGGACCAAACATGGATCAACATGAAGCACGGTGGTGGAGGAATGATGGTTTCGTGGTTCCAGGATAGGAAGAACTCATGTTTAGATCATCAGCACCAAGAACCAGTTCAGGAAACAACAAAAACATCTGCAAACTAAAATGGAGGCCTCAGATTTTAGCAGATTTCTCTTTAGTCTTTGGCTAAAGACCACAAGTCATTTCTCCTGCTAGCGCTAGGCTAGTATGTTTGTTTAGGTTGCATTTACCCAGAATGCTCTGCACTGGAGTCCAGTTTTCTGCTTTAGACCGCTTGGCGTTCACATATGGACTCGAACCGCCTCAGAGTTCACTTCAAGCAAACCCAGACTGAGGTTTGCAGGCAGCCCAGAGTTTGTGTTTTTGGTTTGGTTACGCGTTGTGCTTTCTGCACAAATGGAAAAGGGGGCGGGGCTTGTTCTGCAGCCACTGATTGGCCAAAATTGGGTCCAAACTGAATCGTCAGCGGCGTGTCAATGGCCTACTCAAAGTCCAGATCTCAACCTGACTCAAATGCAACATTTGTTGATAAATATTGGACTTTCTCATCCCCGACTGCAGATGCAAATATCCATCATTCATCTGTTTTCAAACAGCTTCTGACATCCGGCCCTTCTGGAGAGTTTTCTGACCTTCCTCTGTTTGTGTCTCCAGGGAGAAACCAAGTCCCGTCCACCCCCAAAACGCTGGAGCACCATCTTCTAAGCTCTCCGCCGACCTCCACCGCTCAGAGCCGACGGGACCAGAACACCAGGAGGGAGAGGCGGATCTGCAGGAGTCAGACCCACAACCTCAACAAATGTTAACCGACTAACGCAACGCTTCTCCAGACTGAGACGCGCCTTTTTGTCAAACCTGGAGAAAAGTAAAGTTTGACTTAGTGGCTTCTAAAGAATGTTTGAATGTCTGTCCTGCTGTTCGTCGTGTTTCCTGCCTGAGTGGCGTGTCGTTGCTGTCGCTGAGTTTTAGTTTTAATCAGAACTTTATTTCTGCAAACTCCAGTTTAAATATCAAATATATCTGTTCCGGTCAGAGCTTCGTGTTTCAGGTACTGTAAGACGCTAAATGTTACACGGCCCTTTTCACTGCACTGTGACTAACTCTTAATCTCATGATATGTGTGCATCCTAATGGAGGTTTTCAGAGGACGATGCAGATGTGTGTCGTCTGAGCCGATGGTTAAACCGAAAGTGAATCAGAGCTTTTAGACGGAGTGAGGAGATCAGAGCTGAAGGGCAGCATGTTGGGTTCAAGTGTTATGCTAAATAATTTCTCATTTGTTTTCATAAGTTTGTTCTAACAGGAAACAGAAACACTGTAAATATCTCTTTATCCTCCCTGATGTTCATGTGAATCAGCTGTGCATCGTAACAGAAACTCGTTGAGTCTCGTCTTTAATAAACGGTCAGTAAATGTGGCTTCACTCCAACCAGCCTGTTTGTTGCATAAATAATTTTTCACCCTGCTGATCAATTATCCTTAAATTATGTGAAAAGCGTTAATTAGATTATGTCACAAAGACATATGGAGGAAAGGCAGAGAGCAACACCTGCAGAGAGAAACCAGGAAACTAAAGCATAAAAACAGAGAAATCTAATCCAGATTACAAACAGGAACTCAGGGTGTTTTCTGGATTATAGATCATATCAGGACCTTTCATGGGATTACACCAACCTCCTAAACACCCATGTTCTGATTAGGTTCATGTGTTAAACCCACATTTCTGTATTAAATGATTTTTATTGGTCTGATGTGATGTTCTAATCTTAAATGTCATGTTTTCATTCTCTATAAGCAGAAAATCATCGATATTAACAAAAATAAAGGGGTAAAAACATCAGCATGTGTGGAATTAATCTAATGTGTTTTGATGTTAATATAATAAATGAATGGAAGAAACACAAAGTCCTAATAATGATAGAAATACAAACTAAATGGTGATTACAATTTCATTTATAAATTACAATCATAAAGACTATATTGGTTATTTAGTTGATTTGGTGTCTAGATAGCGCTTTGGCTAACTGACCTTGTGGTTGAACGGCGGCTAGTTAGATGTTAGCATTTGGTTTGTTGGTCGACTATCTAAATACATTAAAAGTAACTTTTGGACCAAATTTATTGGTACAAAGAAAATCTTCAACAGAAAATTACCTTATTGACCAGTTTGCTCTTTAAGATAGCCAGCTAGCCATCAAGCTAGCTATCTGTCTAGCTTGTTAGCCATCCATGTGGCTAGCTGTTTAGCTAGTTTAAAATATGCTTAGGAAATATGTAAGAATTGTAACTTAACTGTTCAGCCCTTTGGTTGCTGAAAACAGTAAAACTTTAATTTCCTGAGGGAGTCTTCCCAAGGGATCAATAAAGTACAAGTCTAAGTTTAACAAATAAATTATAGTTTTAGTTGCATTACTTGATTAACTACTTCCTTAATTTTCAGAGGTTTGCACTCCAACAGCATTTTGATTTGAAAATAAACATGAAGTTTTGTTGAAAAGACTCGTGGATCGTTTTTGGTTGACAAAGATCCAATTATTCCATCAAACTCCAACATGTTGCAGCGAAACCCAGAGAACGAGAGGCTTCACCACAGCCACGACTCACAACTCAACACTTTCTCTGCATCAGCAAATTAATAGGCTCAAAACCACAAATCAGTGGTGGTTGCATGTGTGTGTGTTAATGGTTTTTATTTTAAATGAACCGACTAAAACGTGCTGATGAAGCCGTGCAGAACTGACTCTGCTCCGATCGGGTCTGCTCTCCATTTTTCATAAACAGCTTTCTGACTTAATGGCGTCGCTGCCTCCCGGGTCTCAGGAGAAACCGCAGCTTCCAGAGGAAACGCATCACCGCTCGTCAAAAGTGCAACTATATAATACATAATATATATATGAATGTAGATATATTATTTTTACTATATGGAGTTGGTTCTTGTTCCATCAGTTTGGACGTCTGTCTTACATACAAAAACAGACAGAAAAACATTTTAATACATTTATTTCAGTTCAAATTAATAGCTTATGTGCAAAAAGCAAATTAAGTTAATTTCCAAAGCAGAGCTCAGGATTCCTGCCGCCTGCAGGACTTTTAGCTCTCGCTGAATTGCTCGGCTGCTTCCTCCTTAAAGACGTGATCAACAGGGTCCAGATCCGGAGGCGGCGCTCCCAGGATCCCGGGAACGCCGCCCAGCAGTCCGCCCATCCCAGCGTCCTCCACCTTCACCTGTCCCGGCGCCGCAAACACTTCCCCGTCATCAAACCCCAACCCATATCTGTCTTCCGTCGCGGTGGCGCCGCCGCCTGCGGAGGCCAGCCTCTGGCACCGCGCCTGGTGGCGCAGGAAGCTGTCTCTCCACACCACCTTCTTCCCACACAGGCTGCACTCGTAGGGCCGCAGGCCGCCGTGGGTCTTCAGGTGCTTGGTCAGGTGGTGCTTCATTTTGAAGGACTTGGTGCAGACGGGGCAGCCGAACGGCCGCAGGTTGAGGTGCTGCATCTTCACGTGGCGGTCCCGCATGCTCTTCAGCGTGTACGCCTTCCCGCAGTGGCACAGGTGGACCTTCCCCGCGTAGCCGCCGGCGCGGGACGCCGAGGACGAGGAGGACGGCGTCGGTGGGGAGGGAGGCTGGGGAGGAAACGCGGCGGAGGACGACGGCCAGTTCCCGTCCGCCATGTTGAAGTCTGGGGACAGCAGAGGACGCTGGGAGACGTGTCCCGTCCCGTCCTCGATCTCATCGAACGAGCCGAAGCACTCCAACTCTACGTCTCCATCATCTTCCTCCTCTTCGTTGGGCCAGGAGCCACCCGGCGGACCCGGGGCGCCCGGCCCACCGGCGGGGCCCCGGGGGGACGAGTCGTCTCTCTGGAGTCTGTCCTTCATCGGATCCAGAGTCTGCCTCCCAGCAGAACGACCGCCATCCTCCACGTCGCCAGGAACCCGAAGATCTGCAGGAAGAACAGAGAAACGCCTCAAAATGGCACCGAGAAGACGCTCAGAGCTGAACTTTGACCTTTAAAGGTATTATGTGCTGCCATTGAAGTAACTATTTACCTTCAGTTGTTATCAAAATGCTGCACATATCAAATATAACTTAAAAGAAATTTGACTTCATAATTTAACACCTTGAAATTGGGCCTCTGTCTCTTTAAGAAGCTCCTGCTCTCTCTGAAGCTCCGCCTCCAGGAAGTCATCCCAACATGGCTCCTCTATTAAGCCTTTAGCATTTTCAGCAGCTGCGTGCTAATTGCTGCGGGCTAGTCTGGAGGAGCAACATTTAATCTGAGAAATTAACGAGTTTTTCTTACTAATTTTCAACTGAAAAAAAAAGAAATGTTTCAGTTTTTTTCTAGATATTTTTTGAGTGTTTTGGCAGGAATGTATTCCTCTAGTTTTTTCTATCATGGCGGTCCGGATTCACCGCTTCCTGTTCTGGTTCCTACCAATCTGTGTGAAGCTGCCCTTCGTCTCCTCCTCTTCCTCCCCGACTCCTTCATCAGCCTCCGTTTCTCTCGTGGCGTTCCTCCTCCTCTCCTGGGTCTCCTCTCCGCGCTGCTGGAACCGGACCTTCTGCTTCGGCGCCTCGGCAGCCGGAGCCGCGCCCAGATATCGGCCGCTCTGGCCCGGTGTGGCCGGGCTCGAGATCCATTCCTCCTGGCAGCCGGGCGGCTCTCTCTCCGGGTAACTTGGGAGTCCGTCCAGCTGGGAGTCGGCCGGGTTCTGCTCGGAGGACGGCCGCGGCCGGGTCCACCTCGCCTCCTGCTGCGGCCGGCGCCACGTCGCCAGCGGCGGCAGCGCGTCCGGCTTCCTGTCCCTGCGCCGGCCTTCTCGCTCGGCGTAAAGACACTCGGTGCTGCTGGGCGACTGCTGGCGGGACGCGGACCCGGCCGCGGCGCAGGGCTCCGCCGCCGGACGCGGCCGCTTCAGGATCTCGGTGCATTTGTCGACGATGTGCCACATCTGGAGGAAGCTGGCCACGGTGACGTAGTTGACGATGTCGTCGTGGATGATAATCAGCTGGCCGGTGTAGGCAGAACTCAGGACACTCTGGAAGGCGACCGGGTCCAAAACGGAGGGAAGCGACACGGTCGTCACGTCTTTCAGTAACACCTGAGAGAAAAACACCTGGTTACAGAACAGGCAGGTTCCTCCACTGCAGCGCGAGCCTGGCGGGCCACCAGGCTCCACTTCTGCTCAGGCTAATCTTTATTTACTTATTTTAGTTTCTGTCTTGTTTTTATGTTTGCCTTTTCAGCTTCGGTATTATTAACTATGTCTTAAATAACAAACACACAACTATTTAAGCCAAAAACCACCAGGATCAGAAAGTTTCCCCTGATAATTCAACAATTAACGATTCATCTACAGCTGATCAAGTAACAATCAATAAGGACATTTTTCAGAATGTAATAAATAAAAAATGTATTTTGTGTCTGCTGTATTAAATACTAAATAAATAAAACAAGAATTGTGTTTCTCTAACATTATTACACTTTGATATATTTATAAAACACAGCAGAACTTCTGATAAAAGATAAAAAGATTAAAAAGTGAAACACCAAATGTCTCAAGAATAGAGAAATATTAATATATTCAGTTTCCATTAAATGCATTAATTCACCTCAAAACCAACCAGCAGGTCCTGTTAGAGTCATTAGATGTTTCTGTCTTTAGAGCAGCTTATTAAGGCCATTGCAGGTAGAAAAGGAGGAAGAAATGTTCACTAAAAACTCACAAGTTTGGAAATTAAAGTATTTTAAAAATTAATACAACAAACAACATTTCTGAGTTTGAAAAGTCTCAATTTTTAGGTTAATCTCAGAAATTTTCTAGAAAAAGTAAACCTGGAAATGTCTGAGTTGAAGAGTCAAAAAGTTTTGACTTTTGAAAACAATTTTTATGTTTTTATTAGATTTTTTAGATTAATCTCATAATTTATGATTTTTTTTGCAGAAACTTTTTGAATCCCACATCAAAGTTTAGTTTCTTCTTTCCTGTACTGGCATGGCGCCACCAGTTTTGTTTTTGTATCAACTGGCTCCTTTAAGGATGACCAGCGGTTCCCTCTGGTGGATGGAGGCCAAACTACAACAATAAAAAACAGCTTGAACTAAAGTTGTTAATCAACTGTAACTCATTTTAATTTAATAACTGTGAACTCCTGGGTGTCTTTTCACACTCAGGTGAGAGAAGAGTCGGTGAACATGAAGGAACCCACCTGGTCGTGGAAGTAAGGCGAGGATGCAGCGAGGACGCAGCGATGGGCCCTGAACACCTGACCTTGAACCTGGATGGAAAGGTCGCAGAGCCGGCCTTCCTCACGCTGCCGGTTCAGGTTGTCCAGAACCGCAGCACGGACGCCAGGAAAACACACCTGGACGGTCAGAGAGGGCGGAGCCACAGAGTCGCAGCAGGTCGGGTCCATGACAACGGAAAAACTGCAAACAAGAAACAAATACATCCGTCAGATATCGATCTGAATTATCTCACTTAACCTTCAATTACAGGTTCATGCAGAACCAGAGACTGATTTCATTCTCCTGTCTGAGTTTGGATTTTACTCTGGTTGCTTTTATTTTCATATTCATGGGAATAATTAACCAGGATCTTTGAAAGTTTCCGGAGTATCCAGCTGGAAAGACATCAGCAATCTATGAAAGGTCAAAGGGCATCTCCAGCCATCAGAGGTCCATTATTCCCATGACATTCTGAAATTTTAAAATAGAAAAATAGTTTTTTTTTTAAATAAAGTACATTAAAATTCAAAAAATAAACAAAACAAATGATGTAAAATAAAATACATAAAAAAATTATTTTAAAGCATATTATTCCCAAAATATTTTAAATTAAGGAAAATTATTCCAAAAATTAAAATGATTTTTTTCCTGTAAAACTACATTTTAAAAAATTTAATAAAAATATAAGTTAAGCTAAATTAAGACACAAAGTATAAAATAAATTAAAATACAATATTAAAAATGTAGATTTACATCAAAACAAAACAAGATTATTCCAAAACCAAAACAAATTTAAATTTAAATTGTTTTTTAATTCAAACTGAAATAATAAAAATGTTACAGAAAAATAAAAAAATAAAAATTTGCATCAAACATTAAACAAAAAGATTATCCCCAAGATAATAAAATATTTTTAAAAATTAAGTAAGATAATTGAAAATATAAAAGTTTACTTTAATAAAAAACTGGAACCAAATTTCGTTTCAGAGCAGAGGCAGCAGCAAAACGGCTAACAAAGGAATAAGTCAAGGTGCTGCTGTGACCTAGTCAAAGTCTGGATGGACATGCGAGCCGAGCAGGAGCTGAACAGAACCTGTTGCGGGAAGGTTTTACCTGCAGGTGGACCGGAAGTGGGTCGTTTTTAAACAAACATGTAAATTAGCCTCATTTCAACATCAGCGCTGCTTGAACACCGAACCGGACCGATAATAAGAAGGTTCTGGTTCCGACAGATCATCGGTTTTATTGTTATTTACAGCTTCAGTCGCTCCTCCCCACTTCCTGGTTTATGCTAACCGTTAGCCGTTAGGTGCTAGCTGCTAGCTCCGTCAGTCTGGTTACCTTGGATGTTTTCTCCGCGCTCGGTTGGTGACGGAATCCTCGGTTATTCCCAAAACAACATCGCCGTTTCTCACGTTACTCCTGACGTTCCCGGTGTGAACTACCGCCGCCTGTTTAGGAC